ATGGTTTGGATTGGATCACTTTTTTGACCAATCTCTATGCAGCGCATTATTTTGGAAAGCGATTATACAAATAGGTGTAGGTGGTGCACCATTATTCACTGTAGTGGTTTTACATGTTTTTGGTGCTTCTCTGAACTTCGGAGTTAACGTCTTCTTAGCGGTAGAAGTTTATTAGACGATCTTTATCATCAATTCTTCTAGAATTGTTTTTATTTGCATTATACCGATAGTAATGATTACGTCTTGAGTTACAGTAACAAACATTTATATTTATAGTGACAGTCTGCAGAGCGCGCCCATAATAATATTTTTCAACACTGTTTTATCTTGGGCTCAGATATTTCCTTTACTTTTATATCTCCACCGAGCACAGCTACGCTCTTTTGCGGTCTCAAAATTGTTTCATTAACAAGCGTCCAAACATTTTTGGAAATCAAACGCTTTCTTATCAATTTTCGAAATATATTATGATTTAATTTATGCATCCTGTTAGTGACGTTCTAATAAAAAAGTAAACTAACTTTCTAATGATAGACGAAAATATTTAAAGGCCATAAAATGATTTAAATTTAATTAGAAGACGCATATCCAATGCTTAGTTGGATGCCTTTCATTAGCTAATCATTGCAAAGCAATATCTTTGATAGCTAAAAACAAAAAAAAACTAAATATCAAAAGTGAAAAGAAAATTTAAAAAATAAAATCCATTAAGTGTTGAATAAAAAGAAGGGGAAAAAATCGAGGAACAGAAAAACTTTTTAATAATGCTTGAAAAACATTGCACTTCAATACGTTTTGATTAGATTTTTTCCTTCCATTCATATTTCATTAACGAGACAGAGCGAAAAGAAAAAACGTTTAAGTGAAAAGAAAGAGTGAAGCGATTTAACGAGCAAAATTGCCTCTGTATAAAAGCAACAAAAGACAAAAAGTTACAAATTCGAAATGATTAAATTTAATTAAAATATACGAGGAAGCCCCCTATGCAAACGCAGACACAGACGTTATGGTATGTTTAATAGGAAGGGAGAATATAAAAAGAATTATATGAAAGGAGTGGAAAAGGGGGGGAAAAAAAGAAAAAATTACCAACCAGCTAAATGCATCACTAATTAGTTTAAACCGTGGTTGTTGTTGTTGTTCTTAAAAAGAGAACGACGACGTGTAAGTGTTAGTGGAAAGTTTCAAGCGAAGCAGCACAGCAGATGTTTCCTTTTTTTTTGATAAATAAATCTTTTAACAAAAAAAAAACGGAGCGAGAGAAATGTTGAAGAAATCAAAGCGCGAGGAACAAATAAGATAAATTAGCATTTAGAAGACGACTTGAAGACGACAGCTACAGCAGCAACTGTAACAAAAACACAAGAAGAATATGAAAATTTTGCAAATTTTTTTAACACAAGGCCATTGATAATGTCTTTGACGAGTTTACGCGTTGTTGTTGTGAAATGATGGTTGATAGTGGCGAACGTAGCAACGGCGACATATACTTTAAAGCTAATTGTGCTTTGCATTTATAACTAACTACTTTTCGCCTGCTTTCCTCTCCTCCTTGTGCCGTGAACAATACCCAAAGCGTTTCTAGAAAGCAGGCCAAGCATTTCAAAAGCTAATAATTAACATAAAATGGCAATTGAAGTTCCATTTAAAACTGTCACGGAATAATATGAGCATGCAAACTTTCTCACGCAGCATGTAACAGGTAGCAATATTTATCGTACGTCCCATCACAATATCTCGGTCATCCTAAAATTCCCAAGTCGCTCTCATTCTGTTTTCTCACATGCGAATATCTAATGCTGAAAATTTGGTTCAGTAGTTTCGAATTAGAACGGTAACACAACTTGGGAAAGGGTAATTTGACATCTACGTTTGAACGACGTTCGCAAAAGCGTAGGAAAGCCTAAGACCGCAATTGAAAATTTTCTCCATTAAGTTCCATTAAGAATCCATTATTAATCATATATTTTGACATTTTTACTTTTCATGTGCTTGGGGTCTCAATCAGTCTACTAACAAGTCCATAAAACGGCTGTTAAAGCTTTTTTCTCCCTACCACTACTATGTATGGAATTTATTTCGCAGTTCTACTTTTCAAGTTTAACGACACGCGTTAGAAATCGCAATAATAAAGTATTTCAAGCTTAAAAACAACTATCCTTTCAAGCATTTCAAGTATCAAAACAACTTTTCTTAATACGTGCGATTTGTCTATGCGGAATTTAAACTAACATTTTCAGCGGTGTTGTTTACCGTTATCCGTTGTAAAGCTTTTATATGTTTGCAATAGCGTAGGGGCTCAATCGCAACTTGGATCTGTACGGGTTTTGGGTGTGCCTGTACGCTAGATGCTGTCTTTTTTTTTTCTTCTCTTCTCTTTCTCTCTTATTTATTTATACATCAATTTTATTCTCCTCTTTTTATTCTTTCATCACATTTTTTGTTTATTCTTTCTCCTGACATTTTTTTGTCAGTTTTTAATAACGATTAGGATATAATTTACTTCTAAGAGCCAATCGAATTCGCCTCTTAATTTGTTTCAGCTGCGTTTCACGATAAATAAAGAAATAAAATATCTGCCTTGCTTATAGTGTTCGAAACCAAAAGAAGGCGTGAATAGAAGAATATGCGTGTTGCTTCATGCGTTTGTAGCATATTGGAGACAGCAAATACGAATTTTTGACCAGCATAAAGGGCAGTCCTCTCGCCCCTCGAGGTTTCTTGTGTTCGCGAAAGTTGTCCGTCAAAATATTATCGTTGTTTGTTGTTCAACGTTTGTTAGTTTCAAAGTATATTTTCATATTTGCGGTGATTGCATACAATTAGGAGCAGCCTTACCTCTTAATACAGTCTTACATATATATTATTATAATATACTTGCCTATGATGAGGAGCAACATCCATTCGCGTCAAACCGAACATAGTTCTCTTTGTAGTTATTTTTACTTTTTGCTTAAAAATAAGATTTCAAAAGCATTTTTCATTTTTTTAAAGAAGAAGAAAAATAAATCTGTGAAACGTTAAGAATTTTTGTATATGTGATAAGGAAAGAACACTTTACACAATTTAAGGAAAGCAACCAGTTGCCGTTTTTCTGCGGAAGCCAATTAGAACATTGAACTTTTTCCTTAGTACTTTTTTGTTTGTTTTTTTTTTTTCGTTTACGTTTACCTTGGCAATTAAACATATTTTCGGCATTAATTTGTATTCTCTCGCTCTTCTTCTTATTATTCTTCGTTATTGCGTTTACTCCTCTTGGCATTGACTGTTAATGGCTGGCAGTGGCCCTTACTTCCTATAAGGGTTCGCAAGCAAATTTTGAACTGACGCCGATATTGTCGGTTGGCATATTTGTTGGCATACTGGTGGCTATTATATGTATCGGTATTGGCACTTTGGCTGCCTTGAAATTGCGTTCGCATAAGCAGCAACAAAAATATCAACATCAAAATCAGAAATTTTCACGTCCGGGCAATTTACAAATTAAAGATAAAATCTCGTTACCATTAAGTCATTCCGAAGAAATGTACGATGAGAAAAATCCTGATGTGGTGCCATACAATGAGGGTAAGTACTTTCGCTTTTTTTTCTCTTTTATTTTTAACGCTTATTCTTAATCTGAATATTTAATGCCTTTAATCTTAAAAAGTCGAAAAAGAAGAAAAAGGCTTTTAAAACAAATCAAAGTATGCTGAGGATATATTTCTCGTCAATATGTAGGAGCTGAAAGGAAAAATTTATGCTGCAGTGATAAAGCGAAAAATACGTCATTTATATTTCGTTCTTTCCTTGCCGATGCATACCGTAAACTGCATGTAGCTATAAGCTAATATTCACTTCGCGCGCTTGCCTTCCTATCAAATTATTTACAAATATTTTCACTTGCTCTCAATCTTCATCGTCCTCCCTGAGTTAAAAAGGAGACAAAATTGTAAGTGTCTACCAGACACACGCTTATTCCCTCTTATTCATAACATACAGTATTGCTTTAGCTATTCTCATAAGAGTCGATTCTTATGTGCTCTTACCTGTACAGTCATTGCAGTCACTATATGTTAATGTATTACCTTAAGGTTATGCAAATATACAAGCAAGCAACGAGGCTGGCTGGCTGCTGGCACCAGCAGCAAACAACTGACATATTTAAACATAACCAGACACGTTTGTCGCACTCACAAGCCTTATATTTTATCGAATAGGCAATTGGGGAAAACTTCCTTATCTTCTCTGCTCTTTACATCGTATGTGTCTGCGTTTATTTATATGTATACGTACATGCACGCCCCTGGATGCGCGCGCTATATGTTCGAGATCAATTTAACATGTGGGAATTAATGCGGTATTTGAGGAAATTAAAGGTTTCTCATCTGCAAGAACATACTAACGTTTTAGAGTAATTGGTTTAAATTGAGAAAATGACTGTGAAGTACATTTGGGGTTTGTTCAGAGGACTTTCTAGATAGATAATCAATAAATTGTTGGAAATATATTCTTAAAAAAAAAGTAGTGTCAAATATTTAAAAAATTTATTCGAGAATTTGCAAACATTTTAATTAATGAATCTTTAAGCTCCAATTGAGTTAAGAGATATAATAAAAGCACGATTTAAGCACAAAAGTTAATGAAAATATAACGTTCTGCAAGCAACGATTAAGTCGGAAATTACTTCCCGTATTTTTATTTTAAGTAATTCATTGCTAACAATAATGATATGCTACCGCTCCCGTTTTCTGATATCGATATCAACCATCGAATTTTCGTATATTAGTTTAAAAACGCTGAAGAAAAAGAGAAGTGTTTGAAAAAAATGTGTACAAAATTATTATCCCTTTAAGTCACTATTGTAACTGTATTTACAAACAAAATCGCTTTAAAAAAGGAAGGGAGCGCCGTATTTGAGATCTGCTTTAAAATTCACCATTCCGCAAAGGATATTATAAGTTAATCACACAAAATAAAAAAGATTAACACTATTGTAACGCCCAAAATCTCAGGGCTTGTTTTGATCACTTAGTTATAAGTTAATTCTACTTATTTAAAATAAGATAAGTATATTTTACTTTCGACTCATTTTCTTTTAAGGCAAGCATACTACAAGTAAGAACGGGAATATCACATTCGAAATAAGTTGGCAAGGCCGATTCGCTTTCAAACAGAAGCGCGGCGGAGAAGAAGGCTAAACATGCTCTTCTTTTCTGGATCGAACTGCCTACTAGGTAACATATCACCGTCCGACATAAAGTCCGTTATCATCCGCTGGTATTGCACGCCATAGGTGCCGAATTAGGGGTATTTCGAAAGAAGATCGTCCGTTCCGTCCGATGATGGTTGACGATAGGTCATTTAATTAAGCTGTACGCATTTAAATTTTAATTTTTAGCCGTTAGGTTCTAAATACCGCAATTGCGCATTGTTCTTTATTATTCCAACTATGTTTTTTAATGTCTCAAGTGATTTAATAAAATGAAATTGAATTATGACGACAAGGAATATTAGGATACTTATTCATATGAGGAATATAAATGTCGAAGGCTGCCAATAGAACTTTTTTAAAAACGGATTTTTCCAATTACGAAAAATTACCAACCTCACATTATATCTGAGAGTATAACAAAATATTTCCAGTCTTGGAAAAATTTTATTTCCGTTCTTTTAGGTCTGGTTCAGTGACAAATAGCAGAGTTTTCTTTCCAAACAATTAATCGTCTCAATGCCTCAAAAGCATCATTTATCGATAACATCTAGCCTTTGCAGACGATAGATTGCTTTTGTTCAAAAAAAAAAAACACCGGTTGCTCGACTACGTAACAACATTTACATTTTATGTACTTGTTGGCGTTTTTTTTGTGTTCACAATTTCAAAACGTCTTATAATTATATTTTTTATGGTAGCAATTATTCAAAAAATACCGATGACTCTGCGTTGTTGAACTCTTTTTAAAATCAAAGTTGTCTCGCCTGCTCGATGTAAGATGCACTACTCTTTACGCCAAGGCTCCAGTATTTTTAACTAAGCCATTGATTTCAATGTGCGATGTAATAACATTAATTTCCGACTAATCTCTTCGTCCTACGCTTCCTGCAGTTTAGTAATAAAATACACAACATTTCGATATTTCATAGTATAGTCTTAATAGTTTATAATAATCGTTACTTTTATTCATTCTAAATAATTGCCCCATAATCGAAAGTTGCGCAGGCATGGAAAATAGAGCAAATGAAATTTTGCTTTGTAAAGCCAGATGCTTCAAAGGAAAAGTGGCCGCGAGTCTACAGTTGGCCGATCACGAAAATAGTTTTATTCAATTGTAACGTTTTCACATCGATCGCGGCTGAGGTAAAACTATTTTATGAGACTTGGTTAAGAGTTTATTTATATTCTGCAAGCCTTCCGTTACAATTTCATAAGTTTCTAGCGGAAAGAAAGGGAAGCTTTTAATAAATGAAAATTTTTTATTTTTTAAAACATATAAACATATAATAAGAATGGCGAAATGTGAAGACTGTCGGTTTTCAAAAAGATATCTTATTAATACCATACCAAAATTGATATAACCGTTCAAATTCAAATTGCAAATACACTTCTGATTTTTATGGAGCAGCGTGAGCTGTCTCGTTAAATTGTAAAAAATTTAGTTTTTGCTACATTGAATAAATCAGAATTGGCGTCAAAAACAAAATACCAAAGTTCGAAAACGTTACCTTTGCTGCCTGTTTCGAAGGAAAGTGCTAGCGAAATAAGCGTGCTTGGTGCTTTACCGGAAGCCACTAGGGCAGCGGAACAATTGACAACGTAAATTTTTTTTGTGTTATTAAAGTTTCAACTTTAAACTCCTCTGAGCCACTAATACTTATTTTAAGAATATAAAAATTTTCAGGAATAAATAGAGCTATTTTGGATCAAGCGCCATACATACAATATTAATTCCTTTAAGGATATAAAAGAAATTTTTAAATTGCAATGTATGTAAAGAATCTCTAAAAAGTTACTTCGTTTTGTACCCTTTAATTTTGCATTCATTTCGCAGACGAGAAATATGGAAATTTTCCATGTTGTTGACGCAAGATCTCTCTTTCTCTTCTTATACTGTTTTCATATTCTCCATGCAAACGTCATCATATCTCTTACAATTTTTTTACTTCAGCATATGAAATTATGTAAAACAGTAATTTTTACTCCTTTTTTTGTTTGCGGTTTGAAAACTAAGGACCATTTTTTCCAATTTTTTTCTTTTCCTATTTTCTATTCTTTTGTGCTTTTTCTTCTTATTATTCTTTGAAATGGGGCTGCTGCTGTTGGGCTGTCGTCGGTGTCGCTGTTGATGTTATAAGCAGTTGATGGTGAGTACAAACAGAAATCAGCAACACAAACACCATCCGGTCATTTATCGACAACCAGTGAAGCGGAAATCAGTTGTAAACCCCCAACGGATGAACGTGGTTTATACCAAAGCAATAAGGTAATAGTGAAATGCTTTCTTTACATTAATAATTGTTTACATTTACACTATAAAGATGGAGCTAAATGAATAGAAAGAGAAACACAGAGACACAGACATGTACCCGACGAACAACACGTATCTAAGTTACGAAAGAAACCATTTTTGCAAATCTTCTACTCTGACGGTATTCGCATTATGTAAACAAAAGTTTAACTGAAGTTAACAATGTAAGCGCTTCTAACTACTAAACGTCAGGTGTTAGTGTTGGTTAAAAGTTCTTTTCTTTCCCATTACTTATCATCAGGGTTTGTTTTACAGGTTTGTTGTCGTTTTTTTATTTTTTAAGTTAAACTGTTGTTAGATCTCATAACGACGACGATGATGGCGATGACTAGGACAACAAATTGTTAGCACTGAAAAGAAAAAAGATTTCTTTTGCCATATTATGTAAGACAATACGAAAAGTTTTGATTGCTTTGTTTTACAAAGAAAATTGAATGTTTAATAACTTTACGGAATTATTTTGCATTAATTGCTTAAATTCGTTGGATTTTGCGTATCTTACGCTTAGCTATCAACTTTAAAGTACTTTGTTAGAAGTTTTAACATCGAGTCGAAACGAAAATAATGAAAAATAGCGAATAGTGACTATTCAATTCTTAGGACGATTTTATAAGATTTTTTCCCCATGCTTCCGTCCATGTGAATTAAGTTTTCCATTACAATATATGTTTTATCCACTCTTTCTCACATCTTTACTATGCTGTATAGGATGAGGAGCTTCACTACGCCGAGCTCTCCTTAGCTGCGGGAGCCTCGTCCAGTAATGCTAAAAAACCCATATCAGTAGATTGCAATAACAGTATGCTGCTGCAAGGTGCCAGCAATTCATCCGTTATGAGTATGAGTGCGAATGGCGTAACAGCGGCCGGAAGCACTTTGCCTCATGTTGCTACGGGTGGGCGTAAGCTATTGCCCAGCATTCCGACCAAAAGCAGTACCTTGCAGCGTAATAAAACAGGGGTTCCACCACCACCACCGCCTACGTACGATTATTTTGAGGAGCCAACAATATACGCTCAAATTGATCATTACAAAACGTCGACGAGTGCTGGCAATTCTAGCTCAGCATCTCCATTCCCGCCCTGTATATCGTCACCGACTTCTCAGGGCACCCCATCTACTGTATCGCCCGGCACCGTACAAATGTATACACTTCCCTCGCATCCAGGGGGCTATCATACTTTACCCCACAATCATCATCAGTCCAACATATCTACTCATAATTCTTCTACTTCCGTAACGCAAATATTAGGCACTGCAACAGCAAGTTGCAGCAGTAGTGCGAGCAATTATCAACATGGAACGCTCCCAATGCCGCCTTCATATCAGCAGCATCAAAAACAGCAGCAACAGTTGCATTTGCAGCAGTCTGTCCCACCACCGCTTGGGCAAATGCTAGTCTCCAGTAATAGCAGTGGATTAGCTTCTGCTACAACCACGGCAGCTATAACTAGTCCCAGCAGTTCACTGTCCGGTCTCTCGGCCATTGGCAAATCCTATTCACGAGAGATAGTAACAGTGCGTACGCCGCTAATGTACTCGCAGCAAGAGAGTTGTGTTTAAATGTAAAAAAGAAAAAAACAATAGAAATTTAGCGATTAAGAAAAGAAAAAGTCATGTGAAGTAAATGCAGAGAAAGCAAACCTAAATAAAGAGAAAACTTAAAATTGATTGAAGACTCACGGAAAATTCCAAAAAAGAACTGAATACAATAAGAAAAGAAGTTAAGAAAACAAAGGAAACAAGATATATATTAAAAAGCAATTGAGAGAGAAGAAGAGGATAAAAATAATAGTAAAGAAAAACAGAGATACTCAGAATAAAAACAGAGATACTCAGAGTAGAAATACTGATTTTAATGCAAAATTACAATTTTATGAGAAAGCTCCGCAACACAACAGTGAAACAAAAAAAATCTTAGATAATTAGCATTGTAAAGTTCTCTTCTCTGCTGCCGAATAGTAAAATGGCCAGTACGCATGACTTTTGCGTTTGAAAAAACAATTTACACCAAAATTTTTGGGTGTCAACTGTGTTTCATGATGGCTACTTGCAAGCTCAAAGTACTTTTCGCAGTGTTTTTCACTCTCAATCGATCCCTAGAATGTCTATTGATCCATACCTATCAAAAATACAGTTAGCATTAAAAATTAATTGTATGGAGTGACTATTCAAAAAAGGTATTCTACGAAATCGAATCTTTGGTAAATTAAACTTATCATGAAAACTTAAAGCAACATTTGAATGTACTACTCTATTTATTTTGATTGAAAAAAAAAAATGAATCTGAAACATTGGCAACGTCTGTTTAGGGTAAGTCTTTGGCCCCACCACTTCGAAACAATGTTTGTTAATTCTTCTGTACAGGTATATCTTCCGTCGTAAGTCTTAGACTACAGTTATGCTGCTGCTAAAGATTCGTAAACACACTTTTTGGCGATTTTGTTGGTGTTCGCATCCCGCCTAATTTCAAATGTAATTTCTGGCTATTAAATAAAAATGAATATGCAATGCTAGGCCAATTAATTTAATCTTGTTCTTAGCAACCCTTTATATTTACTCAAAAAGCTGTCTCTCCTAAAATTTCAAGTTCTCTTCCAAGTGCTTCGTAAGGGCTTCTTGATTAGTTGAAAAGTTCCTCAGCTTTTTTCGTTGCAAAATTCGGCTTTTTCTATTAACATAGTCTTCCCTTTTCAACATATAGCTGCCTTATTTAAATAAGGATTTCATTTTTTCATACTTACCAATCACCCAAAATTCAACGTTTCTCAATTCCCTTATGTAATTCTCTAGCTGTGGACTTGTAGACTAAGTAATCTTCTTTTATATTCTATTTTGCGCAAGTTATAACACATTCGCTGCCGCTGCGTCTCCTAAATTCAAGCTGCCTCGCAAAATGCCTTGAAATATGCTTAGAAACCTCCTCATTGTCTTTTATTATTCCGTTACTCTTTCCCTCTTTTTCTTTTATCCCAAAATAAGTTGTTAAACATTTCTGCCACAGTTATGTACTCTTCTAAATTCTTACAGACATACGGGCACGCGGATAAGCAGACAATCACTTGGCATTTTAGGCTTACATATGGTATCTGAAGCGTATTTTTAGCTTTTTGAAAGAAAGCAAACCTAATCGAAATCTTTAATTTGTTTCCAATGCAGGAGAATAAAATCAAAGAAAACTGTATTCACCTAAGCATGAATTCTAAATCAAACAAGTATACATAAACTTTTAATTGTGGATGTGTCAATTTTTGGATGATGCCGCTTTTGTATTGCAGCTTACCTTGAAAAACGTTTCAACCAAAGTTTCCGCAAGTATACTGTTTTTGAAATTGTTCTGAAAATGTCAAACCTTTAAAAAATTTTCCAAAAAATTTTTAAACATTGCATAAAAAATAAGAAGATGAAAATACATTAAAATTTTATAAACAGCAATTACTTTAATTAAGTGGCTTCGAAAATTCTAATCGGCACTCCTTATCATTAACAATTGCAAAATAAACAATTGCAAAAAAAACGAATAAGCGTCTCATCACTGACCTGAAACAGCTAAATATAATAATAACTTTGCCATTCGTTGTTTACAAAGCGATAAGCGGTCAACCGATAATTGCAAACATGTATTGAATTTTGATGTGCACGTTAGCTGTAATTCGAACAGATATGGTACGGTCTGATTCTAAAATATAGTTGCAAACTTCTTCCATTTACTAGAAATCTGATTTGTGGATAAAACGCGTAATGATCATGATTTCATTCTTCAGGATATAGTGACGAGCCACTAAATAAGTAAAAACTTTTATGTTATTTTTTTAAATTTTTTCTCGTTGCTTTCGTAACGTGTAGCTGTGTCCCACCGTTCGGCTTGAGTCAATTGATGTATTTTATGCACGCGTTGATCTTCGTAAGAATGAAAATAATAAGGATCATGAAATTAATTCCTTTATTGAAGCACGTAACTATTTATAAATATGTAATGACAATAGTCGAGCGCTGAACTGAATTAAAACAATAAACAAGGACACTCAACAAAACACTTATGTGAAGGTAGCCCACTGTACCTAGTCCACATCTTATCAAAGACAAAAATGTGGGCTATCTTCACACTTGGTTCGCGCCTCCGCTAAGCCAATTGATAATTAAACGCAACAAAATTATTAGAAAACCTAAGCAAAACTAGAAATACAAGCATAAATAAAATAAGAAATTATACAGAATTGTTATTAGAAATTTAAAAAAAAAAATTTCTCTTGTACTAACATATAGTACACGTACAGGGTTGACGAAAATTTTCAATATATAGTGTATAAAAAATTTTTACGAATTGAGCCATACGCAGGTTTTTGATATGTCTTAAAGAATGCTAAAGCCTTTTAGAAATGCCTAATTTCATTACCCTGGTCCCGGTCCATCACCCCGAAATTCATCAAAAACCGGCCCTCTCCACATACACAAGACCCTAAAGGCAAAATGTTGCAATAACGTTGCCAATGTTTTTGGTTTAGTTGGTAAGGACTGTACGATTTTATACACATAATGTTCTTGTCTTTTTTCAGCATGTATGTTTAAGATTATACGTTTCGCGCATATGTTTGCATAATAGCGCGTTTGTCCATGCACTTGCTTAAGAAGTTATATGGATATTATCGAGTGGTCGTCATTTTTCTAAATATCAATCGCGTTTAAAACATTCTATAGGCAAATAGAATATATCTATGGCAAAAATGTTCGTGTGCGTTTGCGCATGCGCTTAGCAGTCACTTGATTGCCTGCTTTTTCCTTCTCATTATTTATATTGGTGAAAATTCCGTTTATGACTTTTGGGCATGACGGCGTACATTCTAAAATTATGCCCTATAACTTATTGTATTTAAAGGCAATATTGTACATAAAATAATTACAATGAGTAAATCAAATAATTAATAAGTAGTTCTCTGAAGCTGAAGATTTTGGAAAACCGTAGAGGAATTTGGGGATTGAGTGAGCGAAATAAATTTTATGTAAATGAAGTAACATAATTTCTAAATTTATCTTGGGGGGCTATCTTCACTTCAGCAACAAAAATGTATATCTTCCATGCAGACATCTTCCTTGTTAACATATGGTCTGAAAATGATTCGCCTATTTTTTGCATATCATCTTATATAGAATTTCTCTTATATACATTAAATGTAATGCCATGGCTTTATTACTATACCGAAAATTAAAACAAACGCTATATAGAAGTACGTGCGTTTTCCAGATTACTGGAAAACACACATTCGCATACTCTATATCTAAACGTATATACGCTGGTATACATTATGTATACAAAAAGATGTGTATTTATGTGCACGAATTTATATATATGTACTTATATAATATATATATACTTATGGGTATATAGCATTCAGTACATTTATTAAAGCGGAAAGTGAAATTTCATTTTTTACAGGTGAAGGTCTACTAACCGCGTTATTTCGTAAGATTTTCTCAACTAAAATTGCGTTTAAAATATCAGTTAACATACATAAACTTCCAATCCATTCGTTTATTGTTATTATTATAGAAGCTGCTAAAGTTGTAATCAAAGGCTGGAACTTGGATGGCTGTCATTGAACAAACTCTCAAGGAAAGGAAAAACACTAAAAGCAGCGAACAAAGTTAGAAATTGGTCAATAATCTGCAAACTATGGTAAATGGCTATAAGAACTTATCTTCTTATATCGGAAGCGAGCTTTTTTATGTGCTTTATTTAATATGATACAGATAGCGACCAGATTAATTCCGAATTCAACGTAGCCGCTTCGCTTTTTAGCAATAATTTTATTTTTGGTGTGAGCGCTATGAATACAGAAAATTTTTTACGATTAATTGTTTTCCAAAGATCCGACGTAAATTTCTTTTAGCACTTCTTTTGAAAGAATCGCAAATGTATTTAATATATACTTATACATGGGATGGGTGATATCAAACATTGTTAACAATTTCAAAGTCTGGGTGGTAAGTTATGTTACGCTTTGACGCATATCTAAACTTTGTTAGTGCTCGCATTAATTAAGAATATTCTATTCCTTAAATGTTTATATGCCTAAGGAAACTAAAATTATTGTAATTAATCTTTTAATACCTTACGCTTTGGCAGTGTTCACGTTTATGCCAATGACAAATTGGAAAAAGTTAGATTACTATTTGAAAGAGAAAATAAACATACGTATTCCTTAGGAAGATGTGCCAACAAATCAGATTATGCAGAGCGTTTCCTTGCTAAGGACCTAATTAACCTCTTCTACTTCGGCCGGTCTCGCCGTAATAGTCAGTCGCTCATTCGTCGAGTAACGAATGTATTGTTCGGGTCAATTCAGTTGAGGCTTATTAGAGCTTACAGCTTTTGCCGCGAGACCTACGATTTTTACTTCTTGTGATTTCACTTACAGGCGTAAGGCTGTAGCCTTTGCAGGTAACAATGCGATTAGCTAGGTATTTTGTACTGGAATGAACTTCTGCGGTTGTACTTTTTATTGCTTTTTCTTCGTAAGTAGAATTTTTTTCTGTTTTTAATTATATTCTTGTATGCAGCAGCGAGCATGCGGCCCCATGAGATTCACACGTCCTTGATCACTTTGAGAGTCTAAATCTAGTTTGCTTTTATCATGTGCCTCTTTTAGATGCTTCTGAATTAGCTAAAAAGCATTCTTGCTTAACTTTTTCTATTCTAACATTTTAAATTAAATAAAACCAAATATTGTAATTTCCATGCAATGCGGTCCAACTACTATCAGATTTTAAATACATTTTACATATTTAATTACGAATTGAGAACGCAAATTGAAAGCGCTTCGAAATTCGAATAACACTAAAAGTGCAGAATAGGAATGATGCCGATTTGATTCACCTTTTAAAACCACAATCTTTCACTTAAAGCCCCTTGAGTTGCTGGATATCCTGAATTCGCCTTAAAACGTATATAGTTTCCGTGTTTTTTTCCTTCTTTTTATTTTATATTAAAATTTTATTGTAAACTAAAGAGCAATTAACAAAAATCAATTAATTATAAAGATAAATAAACAATGTTAGTGTATATAAATAAAAGCGATAACAAAAACAACAACAAACAAAAAGATAACGTTAATATTAATAAAAAAAATATTTAATAAATACAGAGCCAGCAAAATGCATAAGAAACGAAAAGACGCTTATGTATATTGAGCACAGAGAAGCATTATTGAAATTAAACCCAGGTTAACAAGCTCTCTTCCGCTACAACTGGAATCAGACTGAACTAAAACTTATGTATAAACATCGGAAGGGCATAATAAAAAGAAGTTTACTAAAGATACAAACATAATATGGGAATAACCGTGTAAATTGTGAAAGGAAAAAGACGTCAAATCTTATGTATAAATGTATATTATATTATAATTAGTTATAGTGATTACAATAAGCACAGTCACCAAAAGTCAACCAATAAAAGCCACAATAAACAAATTGCAGCAAAGGAATTGCACGAAGTAATAAAATTTGTATTATAACACGACGGAAATGAACACAAATAAATTAAACTTTTAAAAATATCAAAAGCAAAGAAGAAAACTGTATACATAGACATCTTAAAGCAATGTATGAACACGGAATGCACAGATTTCTCTTTCTTAACTCACTACTCAGTAATGAAACCTCTTTTAACTAATTTTTAAATATTTCGCAAAATTCTGTAATTATGTTAACAATTTGCTTACAGACATTTTTATTTTATAATACAACCATATTACTGCCAAAAGGCTTCAATCTCATCCATTGTACAATAATTTTATTCATCACTGCATTGCAAATGTCTCGCGAAACCAAACCTCTTGATGTATGATATTTTAAAAAATTACAGCAACAAAGTGCTGAACGTTATTTCATCCAAATATCAGAAACAAATACTCACGATTTCGAATGAAGAAAACTACGTGAACGGTCTTATGCTGTGTTTAAGATGCGTCTCATTGCGAATGTGAAGAAAGGGAGCGTGGTCAGTTATATGACCAGAACAAGACAAGATCGCCTAATGTAGCTTTGAAGCGTTTGTAGCATTTGTTACATTGATTATATTTGAATAATCAAGGCAATGATGTACTGTCCTCATATCTTCAGAGCTATGCTAAATATTCTTGGTTAATATTTTGCGCGATGGTACTTGCGACTTGGGCACATTGGGGCGAACCCCTAGTGCGTAAATGTGAGCAGAAAAAGAGGATCCAAGTAAAGCCATTGAAAGTCTAAAAATAATGGAAGAGAGAGTAAGTGAAGTGATCCCAAGTTATACCAAGATTGTCCGAAATCAAACAGGAAAAAAAGGAAATCGTTGTTTTAAAGCTAGATTATTAATATGCCGATGCCACAGAGCCAAGGGTTAATGGAAAGTATTTGTATTTATCCTAACTTTTTCGTTAAAATTCCTTTGAAAGACTAAACAATAAATAACTAAAACTAATTTAATTCTAGAGTTATGGACATTTTGTGTATATCTAATTTGGCTGAGACCCGTCAATTTAACGGAAAAGGTGAAGGGTTATGGGTGTTCCTTGAGGTTGTTTTAATTTTTTCAGTAGGCGTATGTGAATAGAGCACGACCATTTTTAACCACATATTTCTAATGTACCAGACAATGTGTGTGCCGAATTTTAGCTTCCTGTCATTATTTTTGCGGCTGTGACGATTCCCATAACTTACCCGACGAGTTTCAGCAAAAATAGATACCACGCTTAGAAAAAGGAAAAGTGAGCGTATTCCAGAAAAAAACGTCTGACTGAGCAATAAAGAAGGTATAACTGGTCGCATTATACATCAACGGACATTCTGGATACGTAAGGTGCTAGAAACATAGTGTACTCACGCTATTCGGGTTATTCATTCTCTAGACGGGAGACGGTGTTGGGGCAATGTGAAAATTGTTCGTGGATTTCAAAACACTGAAGAGCGATTGGCGGCCATTAAGCGTTACACGTAAGGTCACGTGGTTGTTATGTAATTGGACTAAGTATTTGCTAATCAAGGCATGCAAGACGTGAGTTCTAAAGCATGAAAATGACTATACCCAGCAATTTTGGACAGAAGAGAAAAAAAGAAAGATTAAAAATGCTTAGCTCAGGAGATTGTCTTCTTATAAGCAGAGATGTGTAAAGGTAAGAAAAAGGTTACATTCGCTGTTTTTACTATATTTTGTGGAAAGCTATGAGGGAGGGCGAAATCAGTAAACAACGCAGCGTGATAAGAGTTCAGGATAAACGGCCTATCTGAACGTACAATGCATACGTGTAGAACCTTTTTTCAACAAAATTTATTTTCTTGAGTGCTTTTGGATAAGTTTTGGATCATTTTAAGAAGTCTTAGACTGTTGCAAAGGTTCAAGAAATATTTTAATGTATATCTGTTTAACTGCAAATGCTGTCGAATAATAGTGATTACTTTGGTATTTAGGTCGTCGAAGAAAATTATAAATTAAAATAATGCATTTAATCTAAGCTGTGTTCTTCGCATCAGTTTGCAATATGGGTCGTATACGCCCTCAGCATATTGCAAGAGAACAAAATTTGAAAAAAAAACATTTATTTTGGTGCCGAAATTATAATCTATCAGAGAGTTATTGTTCAGTGAATTACTTCATAATGTTTTCAATAACTCAACGAGATCAACGTATCCATTATTGTCTATTCGTAAAATTACTCAGATATTTGTTTTCATTGCAGGACATTCGAGATGGTTTGAAAGTACGTTATATTAGAGAAACTGAGAACTCTTATAGCAAAAGTAAATGATACGTCGTTGCATTGACCACTGAAAGCTCAACTTAACTTTACCACAGCGGAAGCATGCACTATATATATTTTCGATATTTATTCAGTATGTACAAATGGTATATGTGTAGTTCTCAGTCAATTTAGCTTTGTCCACCGGTCTGTTCGTTTACCTTGCTCTCATTGACGAGCATTACTTGCAATACTTTACTAAAGACGTCCTTTGGCCGTGAACGCCCAAAAATAGTTGTAACCAAAAATGCTAAACTAATAATAAAAATTGACGAAGACCTATAGAAGAAATAGATGAGCCCAGCTGCCGCAATGGAATTTTAAGTGGATGTTCAGATTTTAAATATTTATGGAATGGATTTCTTACTTGTTATGTAATCCAAATTATTTTCCTTTTTTATAGAGTGAAGTTACGTAAGTGCTAATATGTTTGATCGTTAAGTTTGATTGGTTTCCTTTATAAAGACAAATTAATATAAGTATGTTGTACTTAATTTTAACTCACAGGCTTTCTTTGCTTGCTTTTGTGTACATATATGCATTTAATTTGATGAAAAGCTGTTTACTTTTCGATATTAAAAACTCTGACAAACAAAGTAAATCTTAATTAAAATCAATATGTTTTGTATATATGTATGTATGTATTGTAAATCTACAAACAATGAATGATCTGTATATATGTATACTGTAATAATTTTTAAATTTCAATTATTGAAGAGAAAATTCGTTTTATCTTAAAGATACGTATTAGGTAATGAAAAATATTCCGGTCGTTATTTGTACTCATACAGGTACTTTCATGGACTTCTACTCTTAATAGTTTAACGACTGGTTTATGAGTCATTTGTCGTAGCTCTTGGTTTACTTAAGGCCGAGGTACCCTCGTTTTCCAAATCATTTTTTAGTTGCAGGTCTTTTTCAGTTTTGGAGAGAGACCCAACGAACATGGAGTATTAGAAAGAATCTATGAGTCCCAAAAAATATAATCTATTCATTAAGCACCTGTATTATCTAAAGAACGAACTTGCATAGTTGAGTGCATTTGCTTATTAGAAGAGAGTTAGGTACATGTATTTTCAAAATTGATATTTAGCCAGCAGCTAAAAATTTGTAAGCCACGATTCAGAGAACATATATGTGATCCAAAAGCAGACAATGTTCTCTAAGAAAGAGCCACCATTAAAGCGCAAAACAAATGAAAGGGATAATAAGGAATACATTTACGTTATGGATTTCCCTTGTGGAATCGGAAAAATCAGTGCTGGGTAAATCCATTTTTTGGCAGTTGGTATAAAAATGTCGCTTCATATTCAAGAGTCTCATGTCTGAATAAAATATTTTAAATCACGTACAGATTGGCTTGTTAACTACAATCTTCAACCTCCAAACTTCCAAACTTTTAAGAAATATTATCACAAGTTGTCGTCTTGAAGGTAGATTTCGTAGAATAAGTTGATGCTATCAGAAAATATTATTGACAACAACGGTATCACACACAGAGTTACAAACTTTTCAACCACATAATTTCAGTGTAGACTCAAGAAGCGGTACTTAAATCAATACAAGAAACAAATTCGTCTACGTCTTAAGTGTGTAAGAACCTCCTCGTTTCATATACTTGTTCGCTGTCTAGATCTGCATTTACATAATTCTTGTCGTTGTTTTAGCGTAAAATCTTTAAACATTTGTTTATTTTTTTTTTAAATTTTGCGAGAATCTAACAGAAACAAGAAAACTAACAACACAAAAACGGATTTCCCCAGCAAAACCTACTTTTAAAACCAAAAATTAAGTTCTCAGTAAAAAGGAAATTGTACGAAAAATTTTTAAACGTAAGCAGAAGTTATGTAATATTAATTTAATGCAAATTATTTCTTAAATATGTAAAAAAAACAAAAACAAAACTCAAGTGACTTGAATTCATGTTTTCTATTTTTCATTGAAATTATATAAAAAAAAAAAAAAACGAAAACAAATTTAAATAAATAATTAAAAAATAAGCAAAAAGAAAAAAGAAATTCTTTAAATTAAAGGAAGTAAAAAAACAGTTTAAATAAAAAATTTTTTAAATGTAAAATTCTAGTCTAAATATATTTAGTTTTATTATAATTCTAACAACCATTAAATAAAATTCTCTTTAAAAAAAAAAAGGATAACTTGTAATATATTTGATTATAATCTTAAAAGAAACACGAAATTATTATTATTATTATTATGATTATTATTAAATAAAAAATGCATAAAACGATTT